ACTTGGTGTTGACGCAAATTGATTTCTGCCCAGTGCTCTGAATGTTAACGTGAAGAAATTCAAATCAGTGCGGGTAAACGGCGGGAGTAACTATGACTCTCTTTCGGGTGTTATAGTTACAGTTTTGGTTAGAGTCTCGTTCTCATGTGGTATATCGTCCGCGACGCAGCCTCAGCCGCATTGCACGTAGCCCTGGATAAGTAGGAAGATGAAGTTGTTGTCAACGTTGATCGTCAGAATTTCTGGGACCTCTCTGCGACTTCAAAACACCTCCTACGAAACTAATAGAACCACCACTCCATTAACCACATTCAGTAGTTAATGGGGCCTTTTCCTCTGTCCGTATATTCTCGTTTTTCTCTATGACGGGGATGGGCAGAGGACCGAGCAAACGGGAAACAGTAAACGGGATGGTATGCTAGTGGTGCATGGTTTATGGTCGTAACATCGAGATGGTTCAACAGCATATGTCGGACCCTGACGAACCTCGACTCCAATATGTGAATGCATAACCTGTAAAACAAAACAATGTTGAAGCATATACTGGTAACGAATCGACTTCAGGCTCTACAAGGTGCTGGTGATATGGTCATGGGATCAGGACGTTCTGTTTCTGCTCTAGTTCTTTTTATTTTTGTTGTTTGTTATCTTTTTTTTCTGTTATCCATTCTGCGTACTAATCTGATGTTATCAGTGTGTCCTACTTGTAGACAGTAAATTCAGGCAAGTGAAATAAACAGGCCATTACGGACGTTATGGTCATTACGACATTTCCAGCCATTAAGGCCATTTGGGCCATTGCGGTCATTAGGGTCATTACTGGCATTACGGTCATTGCTACCATTACGACCATTATGGTCATTACGGCCGTTCGGGTTATTTAGGGCACTACGGTCATTACGGCCATAAAGTCCATTCAAAATCTTTTACACATGTGCTTGAGGTAAAATCAGTTTCCCGGATACTAATACAACTCATCGAATCATCAGAGTTGTCTTCCGCATTTCACACCGTGGACCGCACATCTTTATCTTCTTTAGTTTTATCCTAGTGTTCGAACATAGTCTGAAAATTTTCGGAAATAATGACATTTGGAATCATTTTTCACTGCCCCTTCCCATGCTTCAATTTAACGGTTGGTGATTTTAATTTTTGTTTATTCGTATATCATTACAAACACATGAGAAGAGAGCAAGAGAAGCGAGAGAGAATAGAAAGAAAAAAAAAATGTTCATAGACGCGTGCCGGCCATCATTCGTCGTCTTCTTCAGTATCGTCGGTATTTGTCTCAGTCATGAGAACAGGTGTCTGTCAAACGAAAGAAAAAACAAATTACATTACGAAAAAGTCATCAATTGATTTCTTCTCAATGATGAGCGAAATTAATATAGACAAACCTCCTCGCTAAATAAGACATCAAGCTGGTCGAAACCGCACCATGGAATGAAGATATCTGCAAATGGTGACGGTTCGACAATCATTGCATTATCTACGTATGTATCGGCTCATTCTAAATAAAAAAAAAAAAGGTTTTTTTTTTGCAGCGCTTGTGATTACGAACTGTGCCCTAAGTTGTACGAAACGCGATAAACAGCCTGTCCATTGAACATTCCCACTAGATAGATGGGCGTCTGGACAGCAACGTCATCATATGCATGGCATAAATATTTTGGCTCTTTGAGTGCTACTGCATGTTGACCTGGAATAGAAGCTAATTCAAAATATTCATGCTCTTGGTAGTCGAATCCCAATGACTGGATATCAATGCTGTAAACGGGTGTGGGCGGATCCTAGCGAAAAAGAATTTTTTTGTCGTTTTTTTTTGTGAACGAAATATAAAAAGAATTTTATGACTCACAGCTGCATGTATGCTGAATTGAAATTCATGGGGATAATCGTCTGATGTAGTATGATTTTGTGTAATTAAACCATCCAAAACATCTTTTGTGTCAGGTACATCAGCATTGGAAACTTTGAATAAAACGCCCATTGTATTTAACAGCAAAAGCAATAATACGATATTTCTTTTTCTAAAGTCTACATAAAAAAAAGTCCGAATTAACATAATTTTATTGGTAAAAAAATAACATTACAATTAATATATTTTCACCAGTTTTTTTGTAAAAATCAGGTGATATTGATAAGCACCCATTTTTGTAGGGTTCTTCCAAAAATTTTTTATTACGTGCACGACAGGTTTCAGTCACAATTTGAATATGACTAGAAATTGTTGAACGACAACGAAGAATATCATTAACTTCAATATTACCATAAATACTACCTAAAAAAATGCATTTAGTACATACTAAATATAAAACATCCATACCTAATCTTATACATTCTTGAACAAGTGCTCGAAGCCCATCATCTTCAATGGTAGAAACAGGACGAATATCATTCCAAATCTAACATACAATTAAATCTTTGATTGTCTTCGATTGTTCAGTAGTTAATGTTTTACGAATAACTAGTGTTTTTTCAATTGTTGTTTGTGTCATTGGCACATCTTTTGATGACGATGTTGATTGTGTTATGAGATTAGTTAAGCATGGATGCTGCTTCATATGTCTCGTTCCACTATTTGGACCATAAACGAAAGTTTTTTTACATTTTTCACAACTTGTATATCCATTAATTCTCTCAAAAATACCGGTTTTTTGTTAAGTTTAGCTGGAAAACCAAATATAGACCAATAAGAACCAACAGGTGGTGAAACTTTATTCTTGATAATAGTATATTGTTGTTTTTCATTTTTTAATAAATAATAAATACGTTCACTTGAATATGAAGTCAGTTCTACGGATGATGATGATAACGATTGATTTGATGATGTTGATGAAGAATTTGATGATATTAAAATAGGTGAATCAGACGAAGATGATAAAATATGAATATCATCGGTTGACATTCTTTCATCTATACGAATACCTATAAAAAATATAAAGGAAAGAAAATGAGTGTTTTAAAAGAAAAAAAATTGATATTCGAATATTTTGAAATAAAAGTTTCGTGAATATTACTGTACTCTTTGTTTTATTTATTTATTCTATTATTCTATTTACTCATTCACTATTTTGAACCAATAGATTGCTCGCCAATCATAACTCGTGAATTAAATGTGTGAAATCACTAGTTTGTGGCGCCATCACCATTTTCAATATGACTACTGAAAAAATTGCAAATAAAATGACCCAGGCAACGAAGTTTAGCCTGGACTGCCTGCTGGTCAAGCCAAAAAATTTTCGACCTGATCAGGCCTGGTAGCCTGGCCTGTTTCCTGTCAGGCGACAGAGCAGACCGGCAGCTCTGGTCCGTACCACTATTAAATAAAAAGAAAGAAATAAACAAATCTAACTATGCGCGTATATGTAAAGAAATTTCTCAACTCCATTTGTATATTATCTTCTGAAGAAGGACGGTATTACCATCTGAAACGTCAAATAAAAATAAAAATAAAAACAAACTAAAAAATAATTAGGAAGAGAAAATAAACTTATTCAAAAATATCTAATAGATGTATATCATTTCGATAGTTGAATTGATATAAAACCATTGGGATGATCAAATGAATCGAGATTCTTACCTGAATATCTTGTATATTTAATAATTCTGTTGCTTTTCACAGTATTATCTATATCGATTAGAATATATATTTAGATATAAAAAAAGATCTGAAATTTTCAAATTTATAAAATCTTTTTCTTTTTCTAGTTCTTCTCCTCGTAATACTCTTAAAATTGTACTCAATTCAACTTAGTATTAAATAAAAGTAAAGTAAAAAGTGTCATTAAAAAGTCTAATTATTTTATTTTTAAAATTAGATTGTCAAATATGAATCTAATAGTACTATAATGGAAAATGAATGCAGTACAACAATACTTCGAGAAACCTTAAATTATAAAGTAAAATGAAAAGAAAAACATTTTATTGAGAAAGTACTTTATTTGAAAGAACTTTTATCAAAATCTACTTGAATCAATTCATCTCGATTTATTTAATGATCAATAATATTTAAATTTACAATCTAATGATGATCTTATATAGAAAGATTTAATATGTGACTTAGTAAGATTAAAACATACTGTATCTATAAATAAACAACTTTGTTCTATTATTGTTAAACAGTAAAAAATATTTCAATCCACTTGATGTATTATGTGCTTATTTATCTAAAAGTTTATCTTATGAATCTAATCAACGCAATATTGTTATTCTTCATCATGAAGTTCGTGTTACATGACTATCATTATCCCTAGTTGAAAGTGAATTGACAATTGTAGATATGATTGTTTATGATTATGAAAAATATGATGGTATGATAAAAAAAACAATTGTTTTACTAATTTTTATTGCTACTCAAATGTTTCTTAAAGGTATATATTTTTTTGTTTTAGATAATCATTTCAATTTTTTTTTCTATGTAGCTAGAACAATAATATGTTAAAAACACAAATAAACGATACATTTGCTATCTATTATTTCTATTTACATGAGAAAACATTTCCAACGCAATGGTGATATTGCGACTTTCTTCACCTGTTATCCAGTGAAAAATATTTGAGAAAAAACAGCATAGAACTTGTTTATGAAAACATAGAAACTTATCTTTTGCATGAAAAACTCGTTC